AAACTCACTTGCATGAACTCGTTACAAACTCTGATTCAAATGTTGGGCTTGTTATAAAACTCACTTGCATGAACTCGTTGCAACCTCTGATTCAAATGTTGGGCTTATTATAAAACTCACTTGCATGAACTCGTTGCAACCTCTGATTCAAATGTTGGGCTTATTATAAAACTCACTTGCATGAACTCGTTGCAACCTCTGATTCAAATGTTGGGCTTATTATAAAACTCACTTGCATGAACTCGTTGCAACCTCTGAATCAAATGTTGGGCTTATTATAAAACTCACTTGCATGAACTCGTTGCAACCTCTGATTCAAATGTTGGGCTTATTATAAAACTCACTTGCATGAACTCGTTGCAACCTCTGATTCAAATGTTGGGCTTATTATAAAACTCACTTGCATGAACTCGTTGCAACCTCTGATTCAAATGTTGGGCTTATTATAAAACTCACTTGCATGAACTCGTTGCAACCTCTGATTCAAATGCTGGGCTTATTATAAAACTCACTTTCATGAACTCGTTGCAACCTCTGATTCAAATGTTGGGCTTATTATAAAACTCACTTGCATGAACTCGTTGCAACCTCTGATTCAAATGTTGGGCTTGTTATAAAACTCACTTGCATGAACTCGTTGCAACCTCTGATTCAAATGTTGGGCTTATTGTAAAGCTCACTTGCATGAACTCGTTGCAACCTCCGATTCAAATGTTGGGCTTATTATAAAACTCACTTGCATGAACTCGTTGCAACCTCTGATTCAAATGTTGGGCTTGTTATAAAACTCACTTGCATGAACTCGTTGCAACCTCTGATTCAAATGTTGGGCTTGTTATAAAACTCACTTGCATGAACTCGTTGCAACCTCTGATTCAAATGTTGGGCTTATTGTAAAGCTCACTTGCATGAACTCGTTGCAACCTCTGATTCAAATGTTGGGCTTATTATAAAACTCACTTGCATGAACTCGTTGCAACCTCTGATTCAAATGTTGGGCTTATTATAAAACTCACTTGCATGAACTCGTTGCAACCTCCGATTCAAATGTTGGGCTTATTATAAAACTCACTTGCATGAACTCGTTGCAACCTCTGATTCAAATGTTGGGCTTGTTATAAAACTCACTTGCATGAACTCGTTGCAACCTCTGATTCAAATGTTGGGCTTATTATAAAACTCACTTTCATGAACTCGTTGCAACCTCTGATTCAAATGTTGGGCTTGTTATAAAACTCACTTGCATGAACTCGTTGCAACCTGTGATTCAAATGTTGGGCTTATTATAAAACTCACTTGCATGAACTCGTTGCAACCTCCGATTCAAATGTTGGGCTTATTATAAAACTCACTTGCATGAACTCGTTGCAACCTGTGATTCAAATGTTGGGCTTATTATAAAACTCACTTGCATGAACTCGTTGCAACCTCTGATTCAAATGTTGGGCTTGTTATAAAACTCACTTGCATGAACTCGTTGCAACCTCTGATTCAAATGTTTGGCTTATTATAAAACTCACTTGCATGAACTCGTTGCAACCTCTGATTCAAATGTTGGGCTTATTATAAAACTCACTTGCATGAACTCGTTGCAACCTCTGATTCAAATGTTGGGTTTATTATAAACTTCACTTGCATGAACTCGTTACAAACTCTGATTCAAATGTTGGGCTTGTTATAAAACTCACTTGCATGAACTCGTTGCAACCTCTGATTCAAATGTTGGGCTTATTATAAAACTCACTTGCATGAACTCGTTGCAACCTCTGATTCAAATGTTGGGCTTATTATAAAACTCACTTGCATGAACTCGTTGCAACCTCTGATTCAAATGTTGGGCTTATTATAAAACTCACTTGCATGAACTCGTTGCAACCTCTGATTCAAATGTTGGGCTTATTATAAAACTCACTTGCATGAACTCGTTGCAACCTCTGATTCAAATGTTGGGCTTATTATAAAACTCACTTGCATGAACTCGTTGCAACCTCTGATTCAAATGTTGGGCTTATTATAAAACTCACTTGCATGAACTCGTTGCAACCTCTGATTCAAATGTTGGGCTTATTATAAAACTCACTTGCATGAACTCGTTGCAACCTCTGATTCAAATGTTGGGCTTATTATAAAACTCACTTGCATGAACTCGTTGCAACCTCTGAATCAAATGTTGGGCTTATTATAAAACTCACTTGCATGAACTCGTTGCAACCTGTGATTCAAATGTTGGGCTTGTTATAAAACTCACTTGCATGAACTCGTTGCAACCTCTGATTCAAATGTTGGGCTTATTATAAAACTCACTTTCATGAACTCGTTGCAACCTCTGATTCAAATGTTGGGCTTATTATAAAACTCACTTGCATGAACTCGTTACAAACTCTGATTCAAATGTTGGGCTTATTATAAAACTCACTTGCATGAACTCGTTGCAACCTCTGATTCAAATGTTGGGCTTATTATAAAACTCACTTGCATGAACTCGTTGCAACCTCTGATTCAAATGTTGGGCTTATTATAAAACTCACTTGCATGAACTCGTTACAAACTCTGATTCAAATGTTGGGCTTGTTATAAAACTCACTTGCATGAACTCGTTGCAACCTCTGATTCAAATGTTGGGCTTATTATAAAACTCACTTGCATGAACTTGTTGCAACCTCTGATTCAAATGTTGGGCTTATTATAAAACTCACTTGCATGAACTCGTTGCAACCTCTGATTCAAATGTTGGGCTTATTATAAAACTCACTTGCATGAACTCGTTGCAACCTCTGAATCAAATGTTGGGCTTATTATAAAACTCACTTGCATGAACTCGTTGCAACCTCTGATTCAAATGTTGGGCTTATTATAAAACTCACTTGCATGAACTCGTTGCAACCTCTGATTCAAATGTTGGGCTTATTATAAAACTCACTTGCATGAACTCGTTGCAACCTCTGATTCAAATGTTGGGCTTATTATAAAACTCACTTGCATGAACTCGTTGCAACCTCTGATTCAAATGCTGGGCTTATTATAAAACTCACTTTCATGAACTCGTTGCAACCTCTGATTCAAATGTTGGGTTTATTATAAAACTCACTTGCATGAACTCGTTGCAACCTCTGATTCAAATGTTGGGCTTGTTATAAAACTCACTTGCATGAACTCGTTGCAACCTCTGATTCAAATGTTGGGCTTATTGTAAAGCTCACTTGCATGAACTCGTTGCAACCTCCGATTCAAATGTTGGGCTTATTATAAAACTCACTTGCATGAACTCGTTGCAACCTCTGATTCAAATGTTGGGCTTGTTATAAAACTCACTTGCATGAACTCGTTGCAACCTCTGATTCAAATGTTGGGCTTGTTATAAAACTCACTTGCATGAACTCGTTGCAACCTCTGATTCAAATGTTGGGCTTATTGTAAAGCTCACTTGCATGAACTCGTTGCAACCTCTGATTCAAATGTTGGGCTTATTATAAAACTCACTTGCATGAACTCGTTGCAACCTCTGATTCAAATGTTGGGCTTATTATAAAACTCACTTGCATGAACTCGTTGCAACCTCCGATTCAAATGTTGGGCTTATTATAAAACTCACTTGCATGAACTCGTTGCAACCTCTGATTCAAATGTTGGGCTTGTTATAAAACTCACTTGCATGAACTCGTTGCAACCTCTGATTCAAATGTTGGGCTTATTATAAAACTCACTTTCATGAACTCGTTGCAACCTCTGATTCAAATGTTGGGCTTGTTATAAAACTCACTTGCATGAACTCGTTGCAACCTGTGATTCAAATGTTGGGCTTATTATAAAACTCACTTGCATGAACTCGTTGCAACCTCCGATTCAAATGTTGGGCTTATTATAAAACTCACTTGCATGAACTCGTTGCAACCTGTGATTCAAATGTTGGGCTTATTATAAAACTCACTTGCATGAACTCGTTGCAACCTCTGATTCAAATGTTGGGCTTGTTATAAAACTCACTTGCATGAACTCGTTGCAACCTCTGATTCAAATGTTGGGCTTATTATAAAACTCACTTGCATGAACTCGTTGCAACCTCTGATTCAAATGTTGGGCTTATTATAAAACTCACTTGCATGAACTCGTTGCAACCTCTGATTCAAATGTTGGGCTTGTTATAAAACTCACTTGCATGAACTCGTTGCAACCTCTGATTCAAATGTTGGGCTTATTATAAAACTTACTTTCCTGAACTCGTTGCAACCTCTGATTCAAATGTTGGGCTTATTATAAAACTCACTTGCATGAACTCGTTGCAACCTCTGATTCAAATGTTGGGCTTATTATAAAACTCACTTGCATGAACTCGTTGCAACCTCTGATTCAAATGTTGGGCTTATTATAAAACTCACTTGCATGAACTCGTTGCAACCTCTGATTCAAATGTTGGGCTTATTATAAAACTCACTTGCATGAACTCGTTGCAACCTCTGATTCAAATGTTGGGCTTATTATAAAACTCACTTGCATGAACTCGTTGCAACCTCTGATTCAAATGTTGGGCTTATTATAAAACTCACTTGCATGAACTCGTTGCAACCTCTGATTCAAATGTTGGGCTTATTATAAAACTCACTTGCATGAACTCGTTGCAACCTCTGATTCAAATGTTGGGCTTGTTATAAAACTCACTTGCATGAACTCGTTACAAACTCTGATTCAAATGTTGGGCTTATTATAAAACTCACTTGCATGAACTCGTTGCAACCTCTGATTCAAATGTTGGGCTTATTATAAAACTTACTTTCCTGAACTCGTTGCAACCTCTGATTCAAATGTTGGGCTTATTATAAAACTCACTTGCATGAACTCGTTGCAACCTCTGATTCAAATGTTGGGCTTATTATAAAACTCACTTGCATGAACTCGTTGCATGCCCGAAGATATAAACGTGGGTTCTATTATAAAACAGACATGACTGAATTCGTTACGTGCCCTAGGATTCACATGTTGCGCCTATTATAAAACTGACTCACCAGAACCACCTGGTAGGGGGAGCAATCCATTTGTAGTGGTAACTATAGAGCCTTCTGCTAACTGTGTGCTGTTGCTAGCTCCCGATCCCGTTGTATTAACAGATCCCGTTGTTGTAGCGGCGTCTGTGGTTACAGATCCCCCTGTGCTAGTAGCGGCGTCTGTGGTTACAGATCCCCCCGTGGCAGTAGCGGCGTCTGTGGTTCCAGAACCCCCCGAGGCAGTAGCGGCGTCTGTAGTTGTAGCAGCATCTGTGGTTGTAGCATTATCCGTGATTTCAACAGCTTCTGTTGTTGTAGCACTTTCCATGATTGTTGTGGTAGGAGCTTCTGTAGGAGTGGTAGTTATAGGTTGGCAAGCTGCAATGTACATCAAATTCAGTCATTTAGACATTTCAAGGCAATTACAATTCTTTGGTCGCCACAGTACTCGAGTAATAAAGAAACAAAATATATCTCCGCTTTTTATTATCGTACATCTTGAAATATGAAAGATAAAAATAAAAAGAAGTTGAACTTCGACTTGTATTTCTTCATTCAAACTAGGAAACTGATATACAACATAAATCGTATTAAATATCATCTTACGTCCATCTCCCTCATTTCCTTGGTCGGAAATACAGGCAGCATAACAAACAAATTGCTCCAACTTCAGAGGCGTACACGTTGCATTTTGTTGACAACTTTCGCAAATGCCGCAATCCTCGGTTTTCTTTTCCAAGCAAACTGAAATAAAACACTATAAATATAATTTATCTTTTTGATGTTTTAATTGACGAATTCGATGTCCTTCGAAGTGCATTGTGGTGACAACATTTGCAAATAGCTGTGATTCTCAAGCAAACTGAAATAAAACACTATGGATATAATATAACTGTTTTTATGTTTGAATTGACTTAATCGACGTCTTTCGAAGTGTATATTTATTTATTTATTTATTTATTTATTTATTTATTACAGTGTCACCCGTAATTATACGGCCAGCCTCCAAAGGCTTATGAGACACAATTACAATCATATTATAAGCAGATAAGTCAGAATTAACACTTACTTTAATCTATTTTTAGCCTCCAAAGACAAAAGCAAAAAATTTGAAACATATTTACAGAGTGATTTAGAATTCAATAAGTACATTGTTTTCTTTTCATTATCACAAGACTCAAATAGATCATATATACCTTTTACTTTACAAAACATTTCCTCTCTTAATTTATGATTAACTTTACACTTGAATAAAAAATGAAACTCATCACCTATTTCATTCTTACATTGCCTACAATATCTCTCTTGACTTGGTATATTCTGCCACCTACCCGTTTCAATCTCTAAAGGTAAAGTGCCAGATCGAAATTTAGCTAAAACAGATCTTTGTTTTCTATTCAAAAATTACAAAATAAATATTCAGACCTTTGAAAAGATAATTTAAAGCTCTTATAAAAAGTCAATTTTCTTTTTTCCCTAATTGTCTCCAACCATTGAGTTTCATGTAATTTCATTAATTTTCCTTTCATTTGATTCACAAATTTTTTAAAATCTTTACATTTTTTAATATCATCATACATATTCAGCATGTCAACACTTTTACATATGCTCTGGATTTCTTCGTTCCAGGTAAAATCACATTTCAATTTGGCTAAACTTAAATCCCATCTAAATGCTTTCTTTGCCATATTGGCTTCTTCACAATTAACAACTAATCTATACAATAATCGAATACCTTCTATATAATGTCTTATATAATTTGGGGTCCATCCACACTCGCCTTCTAAAAAGCTGATAGGGCATTTTTTACCGACACCCAAGAAGGTCCTTATGGCATTAAACTGTACTTTATTGGTAAAACTATGAGTTTTTCTATGCAGACCCCAGATTCCAGATGCATAATCCATTACCGATGCGACTGTGCTGTGATATAATTTTGTGTAAATATCAAAGTGTAAACCTTTCAATTGTAGGTACTTTGACCTCATAGCTCCAAGCGCTTTACTTCCAGAATAACTTACTTTTTCAGCAGTTAAGGAAAAATCTAAGTTATATGTAATATCTATACCAAGATAGTGATATTTATCTGTTACATCAAGTGAAGATTTACCATATTTGAACTCTAAACTTTCAAAGTTTTCATATTTCTTTGTTGATACCACCATCACCTTGGTTTTATCAGTATTAATTTTCAACTTCCAAGTATTTGACCAACGATATAATGTATCTATCTGTTTTTGCAAACCATCTTTACTACTCGATATCAAAACAACATCATCTGCATACATTAACAAGCTTAACATGCCTTCATTACCCATGTGTACACCACATTTTAGGTTGTTAATACTTTCACTTAAATCATCGATATAGATAGAAAATAGGGTCGATGAAACGCTATCACCTTGTCTTATACCCTTTTCCATCTCAAACCAATCAGTTTCTATGTCATTTAGTTTAATGCAACCTTTTACATTTGAATACAGGGTCATTATAATATCTAACATTTTTCCGTTTATACCTTTCATCTTCATTTTATGAAACAATAGATCCCTATTTACAGAATCAAATGCACATTTGAAGTCGACGAAACAGAAATAAGTATCCATATTAAAATATTTTCGTATTCTAGCCACAGTCGTTAATGTAAAAATATGTTCTATGCATGAACGAAACTTTCTGAATCCATTTTGCTCTATACAAAGTATCTTGTGCTCATTAAGAAACCTCACTATTCGGCTATTTAAAATAGATGTAAATGCTTTAGCAACAGTTGATAATAAGCATATTGCTCTATAATTTAATGGAACTTTACTGTCCTTTCCTTTTTTTAATATAGGATGAATGATAGAATATAACCAAACATCTGGAATAATGTTGTTTGTAAAACAAACATTAAAAAGTTTATACAATAACATTTTCAGCGATGGTAGTTTCAGTATCTCATTTGGAATATTATCCATACCAGTACTTTTCTTATTTTTCAATTTCGATATGGCATACCCAACCTCTTCTAGAGTAATGGTACTGTTTAACAACTCGTCTTCTTGAATATTCTCTTTTGCTATATGCTTATTTTCGTCAAGCTCAAACAACGCGTTAATATTATCTACTTCAATTTTATCATTATCATCTTTCTTGTAAACTGTTTCAAAATCTTGTTTCCACTTTTCCAATATAACATTCTTATCTGTTGAAACTTCATTATTTTCCAGTAACACAGATGCAAAAGTATTCATCGATTTCTTTTTTGGAAAAGTCTCATTTAAATATTTCCAAAATGACGATCCATCGTGTCTAAAATTAGACAAATTGTTACGTATATAAGAATAATGCTGCCGCTGGTGACAACTTTTGCAAATAGCTGTTATTCCCAAGCAAACTGAAATAAAACACTAAGAATATAATATCAATGTCATTCGAAGTGCATTGTGGTGACAACTTTTGCAAAACAGCTGTGATTCCCAAGCAAACTGAAATAAAATACTATGAATATAATATCAATGTCATTCGAAGTGTATTGTGGTGACAACTTTTGCAAACAGCTGTGGTTCCCAAGCAAACTGAAATAAAATACTATGAATATAATATCAATGTCATTCGAAGTGCATTGTGGTGACAACCTTTGCAAACAGCTGTGGTTCCCAAGCAAACTGAAATAAAACACTATGAATATGATATCAATGTCATTCGAAGTGCATTGTGGTGACAACTTTTGCAAATAGCCGTGGTTCTCAAGCAAACTGAAATAAAACACTATGAATATAATATCAATGTCATTCGAAGTGCATTGTGGTGACAACCTTTGCAAACAGCTGTGATTCCCAAGCAAACTGAAATAAAACACTATGAATATGATATCAATGTCATTCGAAGTGCATTGTGGTGACAACTTTTGCAAATAGCCGTGGTTCTCAAGCAAACTGAAATAAAACACTATGAATATAATATCAATGTCATTCGAAGTGCATTGTGGTGACAACCTTTGCAAACAGCTGTGATTCCCAAGCAAACTGAAATAAAATACTATGAATATAATATCAATGTCATTCGAAGTGTATTGTGGTGACAACTTTTGCAAACAGCTGTGGTTCCCAAGCAAACTGAAATAAAATACTATGAATATAATATCAATGTCATTCGAAGTGTATTGTGGTGACAACTTTTGCAAACAGCTGTGGTTCCCAAGCAAACTGAAATAAAATACTATGAATATAATATCAATGTCATTCGAAGTGTATTGTGATGACAACTTTTGCAAACAGCTGTGGTTCCCAAGCAAACTGAAATAAAACACTATGAATATGATATCAATGTCATTCGAAGTGCATTGTGGTGACAACTTTTGCAAATAGCCGTGGTTCTCAAGCAAACTGAAATAAAACACTATGAATATAATATCAATGTCATTCGAAGTGCATTGTGGTGACAACCTTTGCAAACAGCTGTGATTCCCAAGCAAACTGAAATAAAACACTATGAATATGATATCAATGTCATTCGAAGTGCATTGTGGTGACAACTTTTGCAAATAGCCGTGGTTCTCAAGCAAACTGAAATAAAACACTAAGAATATAATATCAATGTCATTCGAAGTGCATTGTGGTGACAACTTTTGCAAATAGCCGTGGTTCTCAAGCAAACTGAAATAAAACACTATGAATATGATATCAATGTCATTCGAAGTGCATTGTGGTGACAACCTTTGCAAACAGCTGTGGTTCCCAAGCAAACTGAAATAAACGCAATATTAATGATAACGAGAACACTACTATACAATTCATTAAAAGCTCAATAATGTATTAATAAGATGTGATCCTTTTAAGAGGAAAAGGTTGATATTTACAAAATCGATCAAAAATACGACCCTATTATTAACATATCCTAAAATTGAAAACTACAAATAATTATTTTCGTCTAAAATTAAGAAGAATGTAGTATTGTTATGGATCTCTAAATTTCAGCGTGTCATTGTTCTTAAATATGTTGTACGAATTAGTGATTAGAATTTATAATTTGAGATCAACTTGCAATTTTTTAAGTCAAATTTTATATCAAATGTCAGAATAATATTTTTCATTGGCAGCGTTCTTCTAGTTTTCACAAGTTTCCCCTATTTAAAACGTTGCTTCTTGAAATTATTTCAGTGTTTAAGTTTCGAAATGTAACAAACTTTGATTTCAGACTTTTTACTTAGTACTTACACCCGTCGCCGTCGAATCCAATGTCTCCATTTCCAATATCAGATAATGTACAATTTTCGTCACATGGTTCTTCAATTCTGCAGGACTCTACGCTAGTACAGTTCTTAACTAAAACATAATGAAACATATGTGAGATGTTTTTGTACAATTTTCGTCTTCACATGAATCTTCTATTCTCACACTGCTCTAGCATGACGGTTACACCAATAGGTAAAACTAGGTAGGGTGGTTACGTTCTCTGACTTACCCAATAAAATGGCCACGGTGGAACAGAAATCTAAGGTTGGTGCATTATCTTCTACTACTGTGTATTAATGAAAGGATGAACGATTTATGTAAGTGTCGCATTCGGTGATGCATTCAGTAATGTATATTTTGAAGGTAGTATTTGCAAATTGATGCCCGGGAATAACATGAAATAAGCAAAAAGCTGTCGAGCTTCGAGTTCAAAAATACACATTGTTTATTTTTGTCATTAGGGCATGGTCTAAATTGCTTTACAACCTTGGGGTATATAGATGTAACTTAAAAACGATCATACAAAGTCAATTGAGCATTAGAAGCCACCTAATATTCTACTCAAGCCATAATAATGTTTTTTTGAATTTGCGGTAACACAAAAAATTGATGGTCGGTAACGCGAACCTTTCAGAGGTGTCGTTACCGTTGGTTTAATACGTGCACGTCAATCAGGAGTAATTTTTAACCGCTTCAAAATGTTATAAGTATCGTCCCTCTCAATAGTGTTCTGTCTATCAAATTATTGAATGAACTGCGGACGGACTTTCACAGACTTTCTTCCTGCCTAGTATATGTTCACTCGAAATCGTACATGTAAAATTTGCGAGGAGTGGTGCCATAGAAGAATTTTGAAATATCCAGCTCAGAGTATCTAAATATCGTTATCGTATCATATCGTAATATCTAGGTATTTGGTGATTTAAAGTCCTTGGGACTGTTGTGACGCTTGGTGTCACATGATTACGTGACCTGAGGTCAAGGTAAACTTTATGGGTCAAGGCCATTCCAAGGTCAAAGGTTAATATTTGAGTATTTGGCGTTTTAATGCTTGGTGGCTGTTGTATCCCTTGGTGACCCTGATTTGATGACCTGAGATCAAGGTCATTCCTAGGTTAAATGTCATTATCTAGTTATTTGGTGATATAAGGTCTTTGGGGCTGCTGTGACCCTTGGCGACCATTGGGAAGGTGATCTGATGTCAAGATCAATGTAGCCTGAGGTCAAGGTCATTCCAAAGTGAAAGGTCAACATCTATGTATTTGGCATTTTGAGACCCTAGGGGCTGCTGTGACCATTGGCGACCCATGATTAGGTGACCTGAGGTCAAGATCAATGTTTATTGGTCAAGGGTCAATATCTATGTATAAGTTGGCGTTTCATGCACTTTTGGGACTGCTGTGACCCTTGGCGACCCATGATTATGTAATCTAAGGTCAAAGTCAATGTATATTAAGGCATTTCAAGGCCTTTGGACAAGTTCACCTCAATTCAAGGATCGGTCAAGGTAAAACGATCAATATACAGCATTAAATCGGGGCTGCCATGTAGGGGCTACTGTGCCCCTTGATGACCTACACGATCGGGTAGATTACTAGTATCTATAAAATTTCAAATTCTAGAATAAAAAGGCGTGTGATTTTGTTGCATTTATCATATAGATTGAGCCCAAAGAATTGCACAAACAAAATTTTACGCAATCAAGTCCTCAGTAGCGCTATTGTCAAAATTTTAATTAAACATTGTTGCTATCCTGGCTCAGAAGTAAGAAACGATTCAAAAAGTTCGCCTCGTCAGAATCGGGACAGTCTTGCACTCTTTATAAAGGATCATGTTTAACACGGAAAGTGATTTTGGAAAGTAATTAATATCCTTTAGTGCTCATCAAGAATTTCAAAAGGGCCTTAGTATACAAATAATGACTGCCATTGAGGGCAATAGGGCAAACTATTTTCCCCGAGGGAATATCCTGTCCACTGACATGTCAGTGAACAGGATATTCCCAAGGGGAAAATTGTTTGCCCTATTGCCCGAAAATTTGGCAGTCACTATTTGTTTTATTACATACCTCATATGTATTCCAAATAAAAAAAAATATTAAGACATTTCAAAATTTCTCCAATTTAGATCCTATCATTTCTGGATTGTCTGAATCAGCATCGCAGTTAGTTTCTCCACAGTACTCTTCAAAGAGTTTCCTTGAAGATTTGATAATGTTTTTTGTAGCCAAAGAATCGGCTTGGTCAATCAATTCATCCAAATCATCGTCATTTATCGTTTCGAAACGACCAGCCATATTGTCGTCTGAACTGAACTTTGAATGCGCACTAATGATGCGCAGTCGTTTTCCTGGGATTTCAATGACGTCATCGGTCATTAGTAGCTTTTATCTTCCCCGTAATCTGCGGAAGCGGGGATTTAGTACTTTCCAGGGAATTGGTCTATCTATTTCATATCATGTGACCATGAATTGACCAATAAGCGTATAGAATACATATGAGGTATGTATAATAATAGCTTAATGTCCTGTTTAAGAACCCCTATTCTAAATATGGAAAATGTATTCTAGCAATACTATCTCACATGAATGTACTTGTTGGGATTCGATCAACATGAGTTTTTCCGAGAGAATGATCATTTTGTATACATCTCATTGTATCCCGATGTATCCCGATTGGATCCCGATGTATCCCGATTGTATCCCGATTGTATCCCAATGTATCCCGATTGTATTCCGATGCTTAGTCAATGGTCAATCCCTTGAAAAGTCAATGCACCCTTGCTGAAATCCTCATTTTCTCAAAAAAGTTGATTGAGTCCAACCAGAAGATTTATGTTCGATAGTATTGCAAGAATCGATTTCCGATAGAAACAGGACATTAAGCTTTTTATAATCATTTGTTGGTACAAGTTTTGCATGAGTACTGACCATAAATGCAGTGGTTTTCTTTTCATAAAAACAAATTTGTTTCCTTTCAAGTGAAGTTCCCATGATAATACAAATATCAATGCAAAATTACAACTCTCTGAAAAGTTATGGTTTGAGACCCAACTTTGTCAGATTTTTTACTAATGTTAGGCTAATTTTATAAAAAAGGATCTTGTTTTCTCAATTTAAATAACATATCAGAAGCTTCTCCTACACCATATCAATAACTTATGAAAGGTGATGAGGATTGAACAGCAATAAAATTAAAAACCAAAAATCCCATATTATTTTACCATAGGAGAGAACGCTTCAATCCCCACAAATTCTATTAACAGTCAAGTCAAGTAAGTAAGTCATCATTCGAAAATAAAAATCTCAAAAATCGTACATCTTTGATTTCCAAAATAATTTGTGAGGTGGTTATTTAGATGATAATACACATTTTAACGCACTAATTTTGAGTACATCTCGAATCTATTCTCAAAAAAGCGTTCTCGAAATAAGTATTCGAAATGTTTGAGTTCGGGATGATAAAAGTACGTTAAGATATACCGCTCCTTAACAAACTCCTTTGGGAACAAGATATAGAATAAAATGCATATTCTTCCGATTTACTCCCTGACACATGCCAATGAATGTTGCATAAGTAAATATCTCCGTTTTAAATTTTTTGAAAACGTTGTTCTCTACAGGTGCCATTTTTTATAATTGAAAAACAAAATTGAACATTTTGCATTTCTAAATTGATAAGTTTCTTGGAATACAACTTAACTGTAAACGATTTAAGTCATTAATAACATTTCCCTTAGTGAACCCATGCTGAAAAGACAGTAACTGGGTCAATGTTTTGTGTTCAACCTTGTTTTCATGACTTTTAAACATGAGTCGACGATTATGTAGGAAATTTCATTTCCAAATGTAAGCGTATCAACTCCTGTATTTGCACAATATTTAGCCCTTTATAATGATAGATCGCCAAAATATGCACGTACCTCTCAATTAGGCGATATGTTTTTAAATTTATAGATGTAAACTATAAACTCAAACAAAAATTCAAACCACCCGCTCTATTATTTTGATTACACAAGACGAAATTTCCCCTCCCGGGGAGCACTTTGGTATCACTTTGAAGGAGAATTCTTGAAAAATCGTTCGAATTTTCAAAAAAGGTTTCACGTAATTTTATTGCTTTGTTTAAGCCTCGACTTATATCATACTCAAATCCGATATCATAATTATGAATCAAAATGAAACATTCAATTCACCAGGTTAAATGATAAACCGTTTCGGGAATTGATGATTTGAGTTGATTGTGGATATTTATATAAATGTAAGTTGGCATGTATTCGACAGTTAATGTACACACATGATGTATGCATCAACGGGTGACTTAAATATCAATTCGTGACTATCACATTTGGCTTCCAAAAATTAAGTTGGAAATTACAGTGGTAGGAGATAAACGAAAACGTCAATCACATCCAAATATCCGCACGACGTCAAGTATTAACAAAACACTTTTCGTGCATCTCGAACATGGCAAGGTTCTGTTATCCAGCAATGTGCATTTTGAAAGAAAAAATTCACAAATATCAACAAATTTCATTGAGTAGGATATTACATTCGGAATCACAACTTTCAAATTATTTTTTTTAACCAAGAATTCTAAGAACTTGAAACATGTTTTTCAAACGGCATATCCTCATCCACGTTCTTTGACAAGGATGAATCCATTTGAAAACATGGATTTTCTTGATTATTCTTCAAAACTACCCTTGAAATATAAGTATGTAGGATATTACAGTGTAAATTGACACGCATTTGTTTGCTCGATATCCTAATATCATAATGAAAAATGACGAATAACATACATCTTTTGAAGTAGGGGTATACAGGGACACAGTGGAAAATCAGAAATTAAGGTCATATCCCAAAGATTGCTTCACCAATATGTAACAGAACATCAAAATTATCTATTACACGTTTGCTGATAGGTTTATTGAAAATAATTAACCAGAGGTTTACTTCAATTGTGGCAACATTCTTAGTAAATATTGATGAACATACGAATATCGAATGTTGACCAAGTTACTTGTCTTGACCGTTAACATCCTACAAGTATTGCAGCCAAACCCGTATCCTCTGGCAAACATTTATTTGATTATATTTTAAAAGGCATTTGACATTCCTGCAGTAGTTAATTGGAGACAAATATCGTCAAAATAAATGATAAGGGAGTAAGGAGCTAAATCCTATAATTCAACAAAAACATTTAATTTATTCCTGACCGGGTATAACGTTCACCATTGATTAGAAAAGACTCACCACATCGTACAGGATAGGAGTCGGGATAACACAATCCACTACCTTTATTATAACACCAATCATTCGTAACAGGTATTGCCCAAAAAATAGATCCAGTCAAGGCAATATAACTACCACCATCAGGATTAGGCGATATCTCCCAATAAGGTTCCCCGCCACCATAATTGTAAAGGAACAACGAAGCATCTTCGTTTGCCCAAACTGAACGGGAATTCCATTTTTCCTTCTGTTTTCTGTACAAGCCGTCTACAGAAGAGGGTTTATCTTCAGGCGGCATGATTAGGTCAAAGTCGACAATTATAAGATCGCAACCATCTGCAAATGACAAATAATAAACAATTATAGAGCCACGTTTATCTGCAAATGACAAATTATAGACAATTATAGAGTCACAACCATCTGCAAACGACAAATTATAGACAATTATACAGTCACGTTCATCTGCAAATGTCATATTATAGACAATTATAGAGTCATGTTCATCTGCAAATGACAAATTATAGACAATTATAGAGTCACGTTTATCTGCAAATGACAAATTATAGACAATTATAGAGTCACAACCATCTGCAAACGACAAATTATAGACAATTATACAGTCACGTTCATCTGCAAATGTCATATTATAGACAATTATAGAGTCATATTCATCTGCAAATGACAAATTATAGACAATTATAGAGTCACATCCATCTGCGAATGACAAATTATAGACAATTACAGAGTCACAACCATCTGCAAATGGCAAATTATAGACAATTATACAGTCACACCCATCTGCAAATGACAAATTATAGACAACTAGAAAACCCAAAGGTCCATGTGCAGTATGGCAAGTGATTGTAGAAAGTCATATCTTTCATCATGAGTACTTTCTGGGCATAAATACAGTTGTTTTTATTAAAACAATATGTTTTGTTTCGAGTGAAGTACCCATAATGATAAAAATATCAATCGAATATTGGAAAATTCTGAAAAGGGACCCCATGTCAACATTTTTTTTCATAATGGTGAACCTATTTACCAAAAAGGATCTTCCTTTTCAAATTTTTATTGCATGAAAAGATTATTAACACCCCAGTCACATTTGTCGCACGGCGGCCGCAAGTCGACCGCAGATCAATTAAATCGGTGAATTTCTGCGGCGAGCGTAGAAAAACTACGCTCGCCTTGCAGCCTCCGTGCGGCGTGTGCAGATTTTTACAGGCCGCAGGGAAGGCGTAGAAATTATAACTCGGAGTTATAATATTTGTTCATTTCTGAGGTCCCCGTAGAAATCAACTGGCTCAACAAGATTGAATCATTATTTGTCAATGTTTCATGATCACTTTTCATTTGATATTACATCCTAGCACTATGAATAACATTTATGAATGTAAATAAAATGAAAAAAGTATTATTTATCAACAGAAATTTAAAATTCACCGTGCGGCTGCCGTGTGAAATGTGACTGCAAAAGTATGAGAGCGCAGAAATTCTACGGCGAGCGTAGAAAAGCAACTGGCCGCAGAAATGATAGACCGCACGGCGGCCGCAGGAAATGTGACTGGGGTGTTAAAAAGGGGTCTACAACTTCTTCAAAAGTAGACTGGTATTGAAAGTCTAGTTTTGAAGATATCAATTTCCGATGGCCAGAATTATGCTGAAGACAATGGATAGCACGCCTATGGGAAATAACATGGGATATGTGGTTTTTAACTTCAGAAGTGTTAAAATAGTGTAGAAGAAACTTTCGATATGGTTAAATCGAGAAAAACAAGATCATCTCTTTAGAAAATAAGCCTAACATTTTCTAAAAAGTACCCAGATGGGGTCCTAAACCATAATTTTCCAGAGAGTTGGATTGATATTTTACTATTACGGAAACTTCACTTGAAAGAAAACATATTGTTTTTATAAAAAATGTATTTATGGCCAGAATGTACTCATGGTGAAAGATATGACCTTCTGAAATCACTTGCCATACTACACATGGACCTTTAAGGAGTAGCAAATCCCACTGAACAAAAAATGTTTGGATGATAGTGGCCATTTTGACGATTTCTTTACGAACAGAGCTCCTTTGTCCCTAGGTATCACCATATACAATTTGGGATATTAAAGGTAATGTTTTTATGAACAATGGCAGCCAGTATATTAGCAGAGCTCCCGTTTCTCTAGGCATCAAACACAGGAGGGGAGATTTCCAAAAGATGTAGTATTGACTTGTAGTATTCGACACGTTCGATGACAAATTTTATAAACAGGAAAACATTTTTGAAAAAAAATGTAGGTGGGGTGTTTGCACCTTCCTTGTCTCGAAGTTCAACTTATTTTATCATCTCTATAAGCACCTTGCCTTTAAATGGTGCATAGGACTAACTTATGTTCTTTTAAATCAGCAGAAAACAGCTGCAATTCAACATACGACTGTTTAAAATCTGTTGCGATACCTTCCTTGTTTTTTTACAAATATTTCGTTGCGGTTTTATCTTAATATCGTAATTTCTCATACTTATAGAACTCAATGTGACTGCTTTTCACCATTTGTTATGTTATGTTATATTTATTTTCATATTTAATTATTACAATTTGAATTACACGGTATGCACAAGACGCTGGGCGTTTACACCACATTACATATTATTTTGTAGTATATTATATATATATAGCAAGAGCACATTCCTTGATGATAAGGATCACTAGATTAGCAATGAAACATGAACAAACCATGACATGATATTTGATATTAGATGTAGGTGGAGAGGAGAAGTGATTTCAAAAAAAATTTAAACAAAGATATAGGAGAAGACATAATGATGTTTTCATTTACGCCGTTCCATACTCTCGATAGTACTACTTTTATTGATTTTCCCCAAATTCATTTTTAAACATAAATGAACGTAGTCGGTCTTTATTACTAGTTTCATGGTCAGTATTTGTAGAAGAGAAATGTTTAAAAAGGTGATGTGGGAACTTGTCAGGTATTCATATTTTGGTATGCAAAGTTGGCAACATTGAAGTTAAATCACGCCCGGTGATCGTACAAAAATGATGGAGGGGGGGGGGATTAGGCGATTTCTGCAAGAAAACTCAACAAATTTGGAAGATTTATTTTTTCAAGAGAATATTTTCAACTGAATTGCCAAATGAATAGGCGCAGTGCATGGCAAAATATGTTAGGTCATCTAGTATTTTTTTGGAACTGATACCCTTCTAAGATATGAGATCTATTAAAAAAGGCGCATCATCACCAACGTGTAAAAGTCAATGTTTTTGCTATAAATCGGGCAACAATGGTCTACTCGACCTGTAATAAATAGATATAAGGGACGTTATTATCACAATACTAATGACATTACTCACTTTTTAAAGTTAGTTTCCATGCGTTATACAAAAAATGATCGAAATAAATTAATTTAGGATGGAGGGGGGAGGGTCGGATGGAGGGGGGATCACGTGTATGTAAGACATGATAAGACATGCTACTTGAATTTATTCTTATGACTCCAAATTTTCATATTTTTCATTCTCCAGAGATATAATATCCAGTTTCTTGCTGGGGTACTGAGTTTAGTTTTTTCAAATACACGAGTTCTTGTGAATTTGTTCAATCATAAAAATATATAACTCCCCCCCCCTCCATCCGATCCCCCCTCCATCCTCAATTAATTTATTTTGATTATTTTTGTATAACGCATGGAAACTAACTTTGAAAAGTGAACAATGTCATAAGTATTGTGATAATAACGTCCCTTATACCTATTTATTACAGGTCGTGTAGACCATTGTTGCCCGATTTATAGCAAAAACATTGACTTTTGCACGTTGGTGATGTTGCACCTTTTTTAATAGATCTCATATATCTTAGAAGGGTATCAGTTCATAAAAAATATGAGATGACCTAACATATTTTGCCATGCATTGCGCCTATTCATTTGGCAATTCAGTTGTAAATTTTCTCTTGAAAAAATAATTCTTCCGAATTTGTTGTGTTTTCTTGCAGAAATCGCCTAATCCCCCCTCCATCATTTTTGTACGATCACCGGGTGTGTAAATATGTCATAAATACTTAAGATTCTAAGATCTTTCAATAAAGGGGCGGCATGAGCTAACTTACTAAAATTTGTTATTAACCTGGCAAATTTCTACCCCAAATTATATAACAGTAATCAAGCCCCGAATGAATCAGAGCACTATAAGTTTTCATTTTCGCTCAGTTCTCAAGTAAATGCTTAGAAGTATATGATATGTGTATAATTTTTGCTATTTCCCCTTGTAGTTTTTGTTAGCCATGAACCAGACATTGACTTTTTTAAGTTCATTATTCGCAACAGATGACGAGTTCTTCTTTTGTTTTATTTGAATGTAAAATACTGGTGTCATCTGCAAAAAGTACAAACTTCAATATAGCAGAAGCAAAACTGAGGTGATTTACATAGATAATAAAAATCAGAGGTCCTAGGATAGACCCTTGGTTACTACACATGCAATATTTGTTGGGTTGACACATGGTTTTTATATTGTGTATTTTGTTTCCTATCTGTTAAGTAAGATTTAAACCAAGAGTTTGCAACACAAGGAATTCCATAATAATGAAGCTTCTCCAGCAAAATAGTGTGATCAACCGTATCAAAAGCTTTCGATATGTCAAGAAAAAGACTGATACATAATTTATTATTATTAAGAGAATCTCGAAGTGATTTTAAAAAGGTGAGAATTGCCATAAAGGTTAATAAGATTTTCTGAAACCAAATTGATCTTTTCTTAATTATTTGAATTCATCCAAAAATAGTGTGACTTTTTTATACATAATTTTCATAAATACTTAAAGAAAACGTTAAGAAGTGAGATTGGTCTATAATAAGTAAAAAGGTGAACATAGCCCCTTTATATACAGAGTAATTTTGGCAGTTTTAAGGTGCCTGGGAAAACTCCAGTTTTAAGTGATATATTAATAAGTAAGGCAGAATATTTCCTAGAGCAAGCTTAGTTTCTTTCAATAATTATCAAGCAATAAACATTTAACTTGCTTCATAGGTCACAAAATGTTTCGACTGTACTGGTGGATGTTGAGTCTCGCATCGTATGAATGTAATTTAAGGCGATCTGTCTGCATGGGGTGGAAATCTCTATTAGCATTTCAGCAAACGAAAAACATTTTTGTCGTTTGAATGTCAAAGTGTCATTACGGTAATGCATTGGAAAATATTGAAAGGATTCACGAAATTCAATTTCTATGGTACATATTGCATTTTCGAGTGAATTAGACCATACAATGACCATTATATTTCTGCGTCCCCCATATATAACCTTCATCTTGACACTATTACGAAGCTTTACAAAACATTTTTACAATCAAAAAGAAATTCAATTTTATTTTCTTGACTCTCAACAAACTCATGCAAATTCACAATACTTATCTAAAATAAAAAGAAAATAAAAAACAGAATATACCATTTGTATCAATTATTTTAGAAAAATCACTTAGGATCATACAATCAAAAAGGATCAAAAACAATCACTTGGGAACAACAAATATCACCTACAATGAAGAACAATCAGAAATGATAAAAATCAATAACATTGGAACAAGGATAATCACCCACGATAAATTGACAATCACATAGGATCTAGAACAATCACTAAATATCAATAACAAATTATAAAGGATCAAAACCAATCACTTTGGGTCAAAAGCAATCACTTGGGATCAAGGGCAAGCACTTAAGATCATTAACTATCACCATAATCAAGAACAATTACCTAGGATCAAGAACGATCACCAAGGAACAAGAACAACCACCTACAATCACATGAGATCAGGAAAATCACCTTCAGTCGAGAACAATCAATTATGATCAAGAATAATCACTTAGACAAAAGAACAACCATTGCACTCAATAACAATCTCATAGGATCAAAAACAATCACTAAGAAATAAGAACAAGCTCTTGGGATCAAGGACAATCACATTCAAGCGAGAACAATCACTAATGATCAATAATAATCACTTAGGAAAAAATAACAATTAACTGCAATCCAAAACAATCACCTGGGATAAAATTGATTTTTCAAAGGTCTATGTGCAGTATGGCAAGTGATTTTAGACGGTCGTATCAAGTACCTTAATTGGGTACTTTCTGGTCATCAATACAGTGTTTTTTTATTTGGAAAATATGCTTTCTTTCAAGTGAAGTCTCCATGATAGTAAAATGTTATTCTAACTCTCTGAAAGATGATGGATAAGGACCCCACCTTTGCACTTTTTAAAAATGTTAGGCTCATTTTCTTAAAAGAGGATCTTGTTTTCTTAATATAAACATATCAAAAGTTTCTTCTACACTATATTAATGCTTTCTGAAAAGGGGATGCGTATTGAAATGCGTTAAAGTTAAAAACCACATATCCCATGTTATTTTCCCATAGGAAAACTCGTGCTATCCATTGTTTTCGGTATAATTTTGGTCATCGAAAATTGATATCTTCAAAACTAGACTTTCAATACCATTTTACTTTTGAAGAAGTTTAAGACCCCTTGTTGAATAATCGTTTCGTGCAATAGAAACCAGAAAAAGAAGATCCTCTCTTGAGTAAATAGGTTCAACATTTTGAAAACATTGTTGACATGGGGTCCTATTCATAAATTTTCGAATTGTTCGATTGATATTTTTATCACCCTGGGTACTTTACCTGAAAGGGAACATATTGTTCTAAAAAACACTGTATGCATGCCCAGAAAGTATTCATGGTTCAATATTAACTGTCTAAAATCACTTGCTATACTGCAGATGGACCTTTGTGTAAAAATGTCCCTTTCAAAGCTTCGTACACTATATTTAAAATAAGTTTTTTGCTTATCGATTTTAAAATTAAACTACGCCAACATAGGGACTCATTTTTAGGTAAAACCTCTGCTTCACCGATGACAATCAACGAATAACGAATAAAGTAGTACCAGTTTACGGTACTATATTCTTGTATTTTTTTCTAAGAAAAGTACATTTAGAAAGTACTTGACCTAAGCTTTACATACATATCTCAAATGACCACTGTACATACACTTAAACTTACTATACACACCATTGGATTTGCCAGGCTTCGTTTTTAAAGTGTTTTTTACCGTAGTGACACCTCAAGGAAAAGCTAAATCTTTCCGAGTAGTATGAGTCAAAAAAGAATACAATCAATGAATAGAATTTGAAACAATTAAATGCCCTGGACAGGGACTTGACTTCAATATCTAATTTAATTGAGAATATATTCCCGACACAGTGTACAGGGTGTCCCGAAAGTATGGGGGGGGGGGTATACTTTCGGGACACCCTGTACACTGTGTCGGGAATATATTCTCAAATAAGTCCCGTCCCCCCTGCTACAGCTAAAACCTTAACAGACGGTACCTAGTGTGATATACCATTGGAAAGATCATCCAAAGTTATGTTAACTCACCAATTCTCAAGTATTTTGGATGGAATTTACCTATTTTTTTATGATGTCTTTTATAGTTAACGTGCCCTCCTTTAACTAGCTTTTTTGGGTCAAAATGACAAGGATATGACCTCAGAAATACGTCAAAAAGTTAATCTTTTTCGCATTCCACTTGTTACAAAAATGTTTTCACCACTTTCCTTGCACCTCTATTTTCTACACATCTAACCCTATCCAGAAATTGGTTAAATTCATCGCCATAAACATATTTAGTCATCTTTTGGTCCCTTGAGCTTTCTTATACCGGATTCTTAAAATCCTGCAAAATACGCCAAATTGCCATGTTTCTAGGCATATGGTCAACTCCATTGATACAATGTAAAAATTTATGAGATTGATTGACATGTGTCAGATATATGCCAATCAACGTAACTTTGGAAGACCTTTTCAATGATATATCACACTTGGTACCAAATATGTTGGTTTTGGCTGTAGAGGGGGGGGACGGGACTTATTTGACACCCTGTATAGGCCTCATAAGTTTCTAAAAGAGTAGTCCCGACACAATATACTTACATGCATCTCCGGCATACGATGATTGATATTCACATGTAAAGCCCTCATAAGTTAATATTCCCTATACAATATACTCACATGCATCTCCGGCATACGATGATTGATATTCACATGTAAAGCCCTCATAAGTTAGTGTTCCCTATACAATATACTCACATGCATCTCTTTCATACATTGGTTGACATTCACATGTAAAGTCCTCATAAGTTAGTATTCCCTATACAATATACTCACATGCATCTCCGGCATACGATGACTGACATTCACATGTAAAGCCCTCATAAGTTAGTATTCCCTATACAATATACTCACATGCATCTCCGGCATACGATGACTGACATTCACATGTAAAGCCCTCATAAGTTAACATTCCCTATACAATATACTCACATGCATCTCTTTCATACATTGGTTGACATTCACATGTAAAGCCCTCATAAGTTAATATTCCCTGTACAATATACGCACATGCATCTCCTTCATACAGTGGTTGACATTCACATGTAAAGCCCTCATAAGTTAGTATTCCCTATACAATATACGCACATGCATCTCCTTCATACATTGGTTGACATTCACATGTAAAGCCCTCATAAGTTAGTATTCCCTATACAATATATGCACATGCATCTCCTTCATACATTGGTTGACATTCACATGTAAAGCCCTCATAAGTTAACATTCCCTATACAATATACTCACATGCATCTCTTTCATACATTGGTTGACATTCACATGTAAAGCCCTCATAAGTTAATATTCCCTGTACAATATACGCACATGCATCTCCTTCATACAGTGGTTGACATTCACATGTAAAGCCCTCATAAGTTAGTATTCCCTATAAAATATACGCACATGCATCTCCTTCATACATTGGTTGACATTCACATGTAAAGCCCTCATAATTTAGTATTCCCTATACAATATATGCACATGCATCTCCTTCATACATTGGTTGACATTCACATGTAAAGCCCTCATAAGTTAGTATTCCCTATACAATATACGCACATGCATCTCCTTCATACATTGGTTGACATTCATATGTAAAGCCCTCATAAGTTAGTATTCCCTATACAATATACGCACATGCATCTCCTTCATACATTGGTTGACATTCACATGTAAAGCCCTCATAAGTTAGTATTCCTTATACAATATACGCACATGCATCTCCTTCATACATTGGTTGACATTCATATGTAAAGCCCTCATAAGTTAGTATTCTCTATACAATATACGCACATGCATCTCCTTCATACGATGATTGACATTCACATGTAAAGCCCTCATGAATAAGTTAATATTCCCTATACAATATACTCACATGCATCTCCTTCATACGATGATTGATATTCACACGTATATAGCCATCATAAATTAGTATTCCATTAGGGTGTTTCATTTTTCAGGAATGTTCTCGGATTATAACGGCCCTTTAACACGGGGTTACAAATGCTACTGGAAGTGAACTACCGGCGCCATGTCAAAATAGGTCAAAATAGTTCTGACGTGAGCATATTTACTATGTGTGTGCCCGTCATCTCAGAAATAAGCGAATGGTCGCAAACGCGAGTTACAATAAATGACGCTAAAATCTCAAAAAGTAACCGGACTCCCTATAATTTGATGTCGATCAATCGAACTCCTATATGAACAGGTACATTTTGATATATAACACTATGGGGGGGTAAGCGTTTTATAGTTGATCACGAATGCCATGTGTGCAAAGTATTGTTCTGAATTTTCGAATTTGGTGTTTGCTTACGGTACTCACATCTTTGAGGTGTCGTTAATATCATCTCCATCCACGATATAATCGTAGATTGAACATAATCGTCAAGTTTCGAGAAACGGGAAAATCGTGGAAGACGATTGAATTGACAAATCGTAATTGACGATGTTTTCCTGAACAACAATATACTCACATGCATCCCCGGCATACATTGATTGACATTCACATGTATAGCAACCATCATCGGTATCTGTGCAATTTGCAAAGTCGTCACATGGATTGTCCGAACAGTTTTTGGTACAATTGGCTGGAAGAAATAAATGATTATTAGGAGCACAGCATTATGACCATGGTGTTAGCACTGACGTTTAACGTTTCACAAACACAATGCCCAGTTATATAAACACTATGAAGTAATTTAAAATCCTTGTTTGGATTAATTTCTCAACCATAAATGATTTGAATTTAATTAAAGAAATTGCTTTAATTAAGTGGCGACAACTTCAGCTGGAGATCCCTTATGAATGTATGTCATCCTCATTTAGTGGAAAAGCACATTTTCGACACCATAAACAGAGAGAAGATGTATGTTTTGTTTGAAAACTAATGACGTAACAACATAAGTTATTGAATGATTTGAAGTGCAATACAGGATATATTCTGCTCGAGAAATTCCTTATTGGAACGAGACGAAGTCGAGTGCCAATACAGAGTATCGAGACCAGAATATATGCGTTATTAATTTGGAGTATATTATTCGATGGATGCGATATTCATGTTGTACTTGACTTGTTGTTGAGTTTCAGATAAAACGTTAAACTAGATGCACCTTTATGCACAAAAGTTCATTATTTTAAACTTAAGTGGGGGGGGGGACATACTATTTGACACCCTGTATAAGCTGAGAACCAGAATGAAATCATTATATTATTATTATCATCGTTAAAATAGGATTGATCCTGAATATAACAATAAATAAACATGGAACATGAGTTCACATCTTATGTTGAATTATGTATACTGGAATCAACATATGACGTCAACATATGACGTCACGGCCTAATATAACTACTTGTATATTACTGATGATCCCTGAACTTCAAATGCTTTTTTCTACGTGCGTTTTTTTAGGTTCAATATTAAATGCAATTAACCTTTGTATCATATTTGATGATCAAGTGATTATTTTCTTCTTTTTGGTAATGGGGTTTAAATTAAAATCAAATACATGATCTCCATTGGTTAGAATGGAAATTATCACAAAGAACAAAACCAATTTTTTGAACTTTAAAGGTGTTTTTAACTAGTACATTTCAACCAAATACAAATGTTGTTACCTCCATTGGTCAAATTGGAAATTAGAACAAAACCAATTTTTTGAACGTTAAAGGTGTTCTTTAACTATTACATTTCAACCAAATACAATGTTGTTACCTCCATTGGTCAAATTGGAAATTAGAACAAAACCAATTTTTTGAACTTTAAATGTGTTCTTTAACTATTACATTTCAACCAAATACAATGTTGTTACCTCCATTGGTCAAATTGGAAATTAGAACAAAACCAATTTTTTTGAACTTTAAAGGTGTTCTTTAACTATTACATTTCAACCAAATACAATGTTGTTACCTCCATTGGGCAAATTGGAAATTAGAACAAAACCAATTTTTTGAACTCTAAAGGTGTTCTTTAACTATTACATTTCAACCAAATACAAAGGTTCTTACCTCCATTGGTCAGAATGGATATTACCACAAAAAACAAAACCCACGCCGTCGGCAGAAATTCTCTCTGAAATAAAAATAGAACATAAGGGCAAATTAACGATAATTATTACCACCTTGCCGGGCCGGTTCTAGGGGTTTTAGTGCTAGTTTAGAAGGCGCTTATTTTACGATATCGACCTGAGAAATGTGTGACGTCATAGTGGTGGTCCATATGGACCGGTCTAGAATATATTCTGGACCGGCAATTTTCCCCGGGAAATTAGATATCGTTCAATGCGTAAGATTTTGCGGTTTCAGTCCTGGTCGTTAACGGTGGTAATAATACTAATAACGTCATTTCTGCGAGCAATATAGTGAAATATTGGACCTTGGGTCTTTTGCCCTCGGTCCAATATTTCACTATATCGCCCTTAGAAATGACGTTATTGCCGTGTAAGTTAACCCTAATGTGTACAGGGGGGACCCCCTTCTTCGGATTTTTCCCTGGAACTTCTCTGCCAACAAAAACTATTTTCTTATAACCTTAGTTTATATAGCTACAGATAAAAGATAATTTTTGGTGCAAAATTCGAGGTGATTGGGGGTAATTTGGGTGAGTAAGGATGGTGGGAACTTTTTTTCAGAAATTGCTTGAAAATCACACCATCTCTATAGTTTCGTAGAATAGAAATATAAGCTGGTTATTTTTATTTTCTTAAGTAGAGACATATAGCAACTATAATGAGAAGCAAAATAAACCATGAAAATTTGTCAATACTGCAACTTCTGGCTCAAATACACTTATTTTCAACTTGTAACATTACGTTTTCGCCAATATGCACTAAAAACAAATTTTCTCAGCAAATACTCAACCAATATTCCAAAATCTTTACACTATTTTATAGCCAGGGCCCAGGGGTATGTCCTATGAGATAATCAAAAAAATCTATTCAGTATCTTAGGTCCTGGGCGTTGATTTGTCTCCCATCCCCTCGTTTTTCGATATGTCATTTGTAAAGTTTTTGACCAAATTACCTATCTTTGGATCTAGCCTAGGAAAGGTATTTACCCACGTTTTTTGTCCTTAAGGTTAGATACTATGTACATCTATCACATTTAGTATTATTTTCTGGGTAAAAAAACATTATATGTCATTTTTAATTGAAATAAGTAAAAAAAATATTCGAAAAAGCTCACCCCTATGTTACTTTGACCTACTTTTGACCTCACTTGACCTATTTTTGAGATTTTAATACACCCCTCGAGAGTTTTGAATGACTTAAAATATGGTTCCTTACTTGTTACTGTCATCCGACCCCTCCCCTGTCCATTAGTGTTATGAAATGTACATTAGGGTTATATCAACGACATTTAATGTTAGCTATTTTAATGTCAACACAGCTGGCTATCATGACCATACGATATATACTAAAAATATTGCTTATTAATTCTTAAAAACCGCTTTAATGATGATTTTTGGACAAAACTCAATTTTTTTTCATATAGACTCAGACAACATAAAAAATAATGTATCATGTCCTTCGATAATTTCTAACTTGTTATAAGTATGTTTGCAACCAGCTCTTGAAAGGGGGTTGTTTGATATTTCATGCTCGTAAAACATAATATATTGTCGGACCTGGCCAAAATGTGGTAGTGTGGAGAGGTCAAGTCACTGACAAATATTTTATTATGGGATTTTCACAGATTATCTACGTGGGCGCAGACCTGGTTTGGTGGTACTGCGGCTTAAGGGAACATACACGACAAGAATTAATGGCAACAAAACACATATATTTATACAATAAAATGTTACAATAAAATATCAGTGAATGATCAATGTCTTTTGTCTTTATTACAATTCCTGTAAACTCAAAGTCTACTCAAAGTCCTTTAATCACTCATAAGCTCTAATCTAAATAATTATCAATTGTCTTTATCACCACTAAATTATCACTCCAAATGTCTTTATTCTTGTACACACTGGTTCGCCCTAAGTCGTAGTTACTCTGATTCCTCCTCAGGGAAAGATTAATGCTCTTGACAACTCCTCACTTAAAGATTAAAGATCAATGTGTCCAATTATCCTTCAGATCACTCTTGATTTATTTACCAGTAACTCCTATGTTTTACTCATAAGTTGCTTCCCGACTGTTATTAGGATTACTCTTTGTTTACTCCTCCTATACTCTCACGTTACTCCTCGATCACACCTTCTCTTAGATTACTCCTCAATTACTCCTAGGGTTACTCAATGTTTATTCCCCCTCTCAGATAACTCCTCAATTACTCCTTGGATTACTTTTTGTATATTCCTACTCTCAGATAACTCCTCAATTTCTCCTTGCTCACTCCTTCTACTCTAAGCTTACTCCCAGCTTACTCTACTCCCAAATTACTCCCAATTGCTCTTCAACTTACTCTTTCCACTCTCAGATTACTCCTAGCCTACTCTCTGTTAGTTCCGCAGAGAATAATAATTACTCTCGGCTCACTGGTAGATTCTGTAGGACCAATGAGTAAACCTGAATAAATTAGCTCTTACAATAAGAGTGAAACAATGCTGGAGATGAGTAATTCTAATGAGAAATGCACAATCTATATTACTCCCCTGATATTTCACATCAGGAGCAAAGGCAAACGATCAATTTACTCCACAGATAGCAATAATATGCAAAGGTAACAAAAGAAACGTTGGGAAAGTAAAGTATTTGTTCAGACAAGCTAACTGATAATGAATTAATTTGTTACAGAGATATGGATTCCCCTTGTATTTGCAAAAGTAGGAAAATACCAAAAGCACAATTATGAAAAGGTTATTCTCGATCTCAAACTGATATAAGCATAGAAATACTATATAAATCAGGTTCTGATCAACACTAAACAATTATTCCCAGTCACTCTCTGGTAGTTCCGCAGGAGGTGACAATTACCTCCAGCTCACTTTTAGATGCTGCAACTGAGAATAAAATGTACAGGCTTAGATATCAAACACTTAGAAGACAACACTGGCAGCCAGATGGAAATATTTAGCTTGGAATTACAAAGTTAAACGCACAATAATACACCTTTCATAAAGTCTTATAAATAATTCACTGCTTCTCGAAAAATAATAGATGATCAGCACATCATCATCCTCAACATCATCTGAAGTTATGGAATACGAGCCATAGAAAAAGGTTACCTTACCACATGCGTCTTCCTGCTAGATACCTTACTCCAAACTTCAGGTCATCAACAGGTAGTCACACCACACGTGGCCCTAATTCTCTCCCGCTTTTCCCTCTCCAAAACGTCCAATAAACCTACTTCCGTGTAGATTAAACTGCCTCAACAACAGCACAAAATACTTCTCGAATAAATGTCACTATCCTTAATGACAGATTACACTTATCTCCTACGATATCTCCACAAGTTTCAGCATCAATCCAAAGCTAAATGGCCGCCATCTTCCTCACGCTTCTTCTCCTTCAAGCCCCAGGTTGAACTATTGAAGATCAAGGGTTGTGACGTCACAAATTTTAGGGGAAATACCCCGTACCTTTTGGTCCAGCGTAATTAATAACTCCCGGGAGAATCCCTCTTAAATTGCTAATGACATGTAACAATTAACTTCTGAATTTCCCACAGATAATTACATTTTAATAGAATAACACAAAATGGGGAATTCCTAAATTTCCCACAATATCTTATATGATTTGTATCCTCTAACCAACTGTTTAAATAAATGTTGTTGATGGATAATTTGTTGAAAGCTTTCATATGATATATTACACATGCTGGTATGCTATTTGGGATTGGTGGTTGATGGGGGGACGGTCATTATGAAACACCCTGTATTTAAATGATTTTCCAAAAAATCATCGTTAATACTGTTTTTTAGAATTTATGAGCAATATTTTCTGTATATATCGCCTGGTCATGATAGCCAGTTATGTTGACATTCAAATATAACACATTAATGGCATTGATATCAATAGACATGGCGCAGGCTTTGGTAGAATAACAGAATTTGACAATATTTGAAAATATCAGCTATCGTAAAGGAGTGGTATCGAAATGGTGAACTTTTTGAAACGCGTTTCCCTTAAACCAGTCATTCTACACATCGTCAATTTAATGGTCATCCTTTGGATGGTAACATGATAATTTGAATTATATATTGTAAACTTTTCTCTACATTGTTTTAGAAAGCACATCAGCACTTCTTCCGTTCTTGGTAGCCTATGTTCGGAACGAAATGAAACATCTATCCGAACCTCGTTGGAACAAAACGACATAAACACAACGTGTTTAGGTCTCTCAATATTGTAATTGTACAAAGGAAAGTTTGGTTGATATTGAAAAAGTATCTTGTGAATTAAATAAAAGGTTTATCTTATAGTATGGGAGCAAAGGTAATTCCGTGTCCTTTTTAGAGGCGAGCTAAGCGACATATATTTTTATGAACTATATGTGATACTTACCAAGAAAAATGATGTTGGCAATTCTGAATCCGCGACGGCGTTGCTATGGTAACCAAGTAAATAAGCCACGCCCACTTTTAGGGGCTCTTTTCAGTGTTTGGCCCTTATCTCCTTCGTTATTGCTCAGATTTCGATGAAATTCGCACCAAATGGAAGGTAATAGATGATGCACTCAAAATATATTAAGTTGGCAATTCTGAATCCGCGGCAGCGTTACTATGGTAACAAAGTAAATATGCCACACCCACTTTTAGGGGCTCTTTTCGGTGTTTGGCCCATATCTTTGTCATTATTGCTCAGATTAAGATGAAATTTGCACCACATGAAAGGTAATAGATGAAGCAATCATACAGTTCATAAAATATGCAAATAGGGTGATTTGCATCTTAATTATGACGTCATAACTGTTTGTTTTTGTGCATTTTATTTTAATCATGATGTATAAATCTGCGAAATGAGTATTTTCAAAATGGTCAGTAATGCTTTTAACTAGTTAATTAGTTTAATTATTTTAGTTGAGTTTATTAGTTTATTACATTGATACATGTATGGTCATAAAACATTGAATAAATGTAATGAAGTGTCCAATTCACGCTGTTGCTATGGTAACAGCAAGTAG